CTTTACACCATGTGTGTGTGTGTGTGTGTGTGTGTGTGTGTGTGTGTGTGTGTGTGTGTGTGCGCAGTTCCAGAGGAACATTTTATATCTCATTTATGTTTGGATAGAATAGGAAGAATAAATGCAGAGCATCAACTTCATCTTAGATGTATCTGCTAAAATTCCACATGATAAATAAAAATAGAAAAATAAAACTGAAGCTTATTTCTGCCACAAAAAAAACAATTGTGGCTTTTTATCACACAATTCAGTTTTTTTTTCTCACAATTGATCAATTAATAAACTCTGTAACTGTGTAAGAAAAGAGTCTGAATCGTAAAAAATAAGCCACAATTAGCTTTTTTTCCATAGTAGAAAAAACAAGATTGCAAGATGTAAACACTGAATTTTGAGGGGAAAAAAGACAGAATTGCAAGATGTACATTTATAATTATGAGGGAAAAAATACGAATTTTAAGTTTATAACTGTCAGTTCTGTCATGACAACTCTCGTAGGGATTGGCATGGTAATGTACAGTACATGACAATGTTAATGTATTTGGTCTTGGCGGAATAGATCTGCTACACTGCTGCTGCTGCGGCAGAGCAAGTACTGAGACTTGCTACAGCAAATACATCCACAACATGCTGCTGTGAGCATGTAAGAAATACTGCTGCTGCAAATATAACATACATGAAATAACCCCCATATAGCATACATGAATCACCTTGTAGCAGATCTATACAGGTGGAACTGGGGAAGGTGGAGGGTTTCTGAAGCAAGCTGCAACTGCTACGGCAAGCACTAATCATTATATTTGAATGTTGAGCAGCGAGCTCATTGGCTACCGATACAGGAGAGAACATCAGCTGTGTCATGTGATAATGATTTCATTAGGTCAGATTGAGTTAGACTTATCGGACTGCGCCATCTAGAGTTTCATGCCAGAACTCTGTATTTGCGAGATATAAATGTGCAATTATGTGAAAAAATTTAGAATTGCATGATGTTAGCTCGCAATAGTGAGAAAAAGTTGCAGTTACCTTTTAAAAAAAAAAATAATAATTCAGTGGTGAAAAACAGAAGAACAGAATTGTGAGATGTAAACTCAAAATTATGAGAAAAAAAAACATTTGAGTTGTAAACAAATTATGAAAAAAAATTCAGAATTGCAAGATGTAAACAGCTTGCAATTCTGAGGGAAAAAAATCTGAATCAAAAGATATAAACTCAGAATTGTGAGATAAAAAGTTGAAATGACCTTTTTTATGTTTTTGTTCCTTGGCAGAAATAAGCTTCCATAGAAGCCAGCATTTAAAATGCACTAAATTCAAATTTTCTCTAGATTGTTTATTTTTTATTATGACTACTATTTATTTTTGGGGGTAAATATCAGGCAGCTCATCATCCTTTATGCATTGTTAAAAGGCTGTTTAACATGCATATTATTTGCTAAGAAACACATCTAATCTTTTTCTCTGGTGTTGTTCTCATAGACGGCATGGGTCGTGTTCTGGCTCAGGACGTTTATGCCAAAGACAACCTGCCTCCGTTCCCTGCCTCCATTAAAGACGGCTACGCTGTAAGAGGTGAGAGCCCACATGACTCGACGATGACAGACCTGGTTAACTCACGCTCTAGTGCTTGCGTCAGCGCTGCATGTTGAAGCATTACTCATGTCTGCTAGAGAGCGACACTCCAAACGCCTCTCAGGGGATGCATGTCAAATGCTTCATTCATTTCTTATAGACTTGGTGCTGGATGGGAGTTTCCTGCTTAAAAATGTCATAACAAGAACTTGTGCAGAGTAAACTTCAGCATTTAGGGATTTTGCATTAATTGCATATTTATGAGCTCATGAGTATTTACTGACAGTCTATAAACACTGTCTGATGTAGGCCACGTTAAGGAAGATGTCTGGCTCTTCACAACATTAGGAAGATCTTAACATTCAGTTGCTGTAAAATCAATACTGACCCTATTTTAGTTTCTTCATACCCATTTCTGAATCTATAATGAATGTTAAGTCTTTCAGTCCCAGCAATTTACCAAAAGATATCTCTTATACACGCTCTGTACTGCATACAGTTTGCATATTAACAGTTGTATGCAAAGCAATACACAGTACACTATGCAACAGTAACTTCAACTAATAACTAACAATAACTTAATAACTTCAGGCATTTCAAACAAGCTTCGATTCGACGGTTACACTTTATTTTGATAGTCCACTTTAGACATTCTACTAACTATAAGTAACTATGCAACTTCATGTCAACTAATTCTCATTAATTTGCAACTACATGTCTACTAACTCTCAGAGTAGACTGTTAGGTTAGGTGTAGGGTTAGTAGAATAAGTTGACGTACTTGCAAAGTTTCTCGTAGTCAGTATGTTGTATGTTGTGGACCCATCAAAATAAAGTGTTAGACGATATTAAGCAGACAGTCTACTAATACTCTAATAACTGCTAGTTGACATGGAGTTGCAAAGTTACTTACTGTTAGGAGAACATCTAAAGTGGACTATCAAAATAAAGTGTTACCATTTAAACTTATCTGGTCTTTAATAATATTCTAAAAACATTAGCACAGAAACATTATTTATATATTATTTGTGTAGCATTTTTTTCTTCTGTAGCTTTCGTCTAACGTGTTTTTTAAAACGTTACACTGTTTGTTTCATAACTTTCAGAGAACATTCAAAAGTAACACATCCTTAATATACTGTTTGCAAAATATTTCAAATGGATTAAAAGTTAACGTTATTACTTGTTTGAAACCATTCAGAGAACATTAAAAAGTAACGTTCCAATAATGTTTGCAGAATTATTCAAATTGGAACATTCCTTTAATGCTTTTTTTAATGTTACTGTTTGCTGCTTGTTTCAAAATGTTCAAAGAACATTCCAAACTAACGTCCCTATTATGTCTGCAAAATGGAAAATGAAATATTCCCTTAATGTTTTAGCTAACATTTTGAAAAAAAAATTTTTAAAAACTATCCATTTTGAACATTCCTGAGAACATTCGAAATAACGTTTTAACGTGTCTAAGAATGTTATCAAAACATTCTTTGAACTTTCCCTTAATGTTTTAGGTAACGTTATTTGTTTCAAAACATTCAGAGAACATTTAAAAGTAACATTCCCATAATGTTTGTAGAATGTTTAAAATGGAACATTCCCTTAAAGGGGTCATATGATGCAATTTCATTTTTTCCTTTCTCTTTGGAGTGTTACAAGCTCTTGGTGCATAAAGAAGATCTGTAAATTTGCGCTTTGTAAAAATCGACGCGTTTCAGAAGGCGGGGCATAGAGGAGAAACAATAATGTACAGTATGTGGAAAAGAATGCGTTTTTTTAACTTTAAACCGCATAAACACATTTCATTACACCAAATACACAAAATAATGTTCTTTTTAGCAGCATCATATGACCCCTTTAATATTTTGGCTAACATTTTGAAAACATTTAAAAAACTGGACTTTTTGAATGTTGCGAGAACATTCAATATAATATTTTAACATGTCCATGACCTAATGGGAACGTTATCAAAACATTCTTAGAACATTCCCTTAATGTTTTAGCTAACGTTCATTACTTATTTCAAAACATTCAGAGAACATTCAAAAGTAACGTTTCCTTAATGTTTGCAGAATGATTAAAATCGAACATTCTCTTAATATTTTTTTTAAAAATTGCCATTTTGAACATTCTGAGAACATCTGGAACCTTTATTGTGTCTGTAACTTAATGGGAATGGTATCAAAACATTCTTAGAATATATTTTGTTAGCTGGGAAACAGTAGCATGCTACAGTGTTGTCTCTGTGTCCTGACAGCGGCTGATGGTCCTGGTGACAGATTTATTATCGGCGAGTCTCAGGCTGGAGAGCAGGTGAGAAAAGAAAAGATATCGTTTGAGAAATCCCCCTTCAGATGTAAGGAAAGTGATCCATACGGACTGCTGTAACGTGTGTTTCCAGCCCACACACACCGTGATGCCGGGTCAGGTGATGCGGGTTACGACAGGCGCTCCTATTCCATGCGGGGCCGACGCTGTGGTTCAAGTAGAAGACACCGAACTCCTGCGAGAGTCTGAAGACGTGAGTTACAGCCTGCTGATTCTTCAATAAAACATAATCATACATTATTAAATCATTTTCATTTATTCATACGCGCTATCGTTCGAAAGTCTGGGGGCGTTAAGTTTTTTTTTATGTAGCCTATTTGAAAGTCTCTTTTGCTGATCAAGGCTGCATTTATTTGATCGAAAATACAGTAAAAAAATGTGAAATATTATTAAAAAAAAAAATTTAAAGCTGTTTTCTATGTAAATATATGGTAAAATGTAATTTATTCCTGTGATCAAAGCTGAATTTTCAGCATCATTACTCCAGTCTTCAGTGTCACGCGATCCTTCATTTGCTGCTCGAGAAACATTTCTGATTATTATCAATGTTGAAAACAGTCTCGTTCCCTGTTCTCAGGGAACCATGGTTACATGCGTAACCTGAGACGTTCCCTTTCGAAAGGAAACTCAATGCTGCGTCCTCTAGAGGGCGCTAGGGGAACGCCTTCAGCGTGACTGGTGTCCTCTAGAGGACGCAGCGTTGAGTTCCCTGTTCTCAGGGAACCATGGTTACATGCGTAACCTGAGACGATTTTTGTTGAAACTGTGATACGCTTTATTTTTCAGGATTCTTTGATGAATAGAAAGTTCAAAACAACAGCATTGGTTTCAAATAGAAATCTTTTGTAACATTATAAATGTCTTTAGTGTCACTCAATTTAATGCACCCTTGATAGATAAAAGTATTCATTTCTTTCAGAAAAATCTTAACTACCCCACATTTTGAGAACTGTAACTGAGTGAAATAAATCTTTATTTCCTAAGGTTTATTGTGGTCATTTAAAGTTATGAATGCATATAATATCATAACATTTATATTTTTAAATAGTATATTGTATTTACATATAAAATAAATGTTGAATAATAAATATATTTACTATATATTTTTATTATTTATTTATGTATATATAATTATAATATAAGTATACAAAATTGCTGAAATGGAATAAACTTATTTTATAAAATGTTTAGTCAAATTCTACCAAAATATTTGAAAAGTGGGAGGAAATTAATTGGTAGCTACTGTTATGCACTGATGATGATAATCTGAAAATAGTTCACTCTGTCTGGCTGTCAGTTATTATTTGTCTGTTCATTTCTCAGGGCACAGAAGAGCTTGAGGTGCGGATTCTGGTTCAGGCTCGTCCAGGTCAAGACATCAGGTGAGCGTCTGTGAGCGTATCTCAGCATGACTGTGTGAGTCTCAGATGCGTCTGAGGGGGTCTGTCCCGTGTTCTGCTTCTGCAGGCCCATCGGTCACGACATTAAGCGTGGTGAATGCGTGCTGGCCAAAGGCACTCACATGGGCCCGTCTGAGATCGGCCTGCTGGCCACGGTGGGCGTCACAGAGGTGGAAGTGCAGAGGTTTCCAGTCGTGGCTGTGATGTCTACAGGCAACGAGGTGCCACTACAACACACACTGCTCTTTAGAGCTCCACTGTTTCTTCTAGACAGCAATTAGATCTAATGGGGAGCCTCCAGCTTTCTCACACTGCAAAAAATACTTTCTTACTCAGGATTTTTGTCTTGTTTCCAGTGCAAATATCTAAACATTCTTAAATATAGATATATTTACCTGAGAAGGAAGAATGTTTAACATGTTAAGTCTGAAAAATGTATCAAAATTAAGTGAGTTTATTATTAAAACAAGAAAAATATCGGTCCGTGGGGTCCGAAAAATAATCTTGTTTTCCCTTTTAATTTTTCTTACCGCACTGACAGATTTTTTCTTCTTCTTGTTTTAAGCAGAAACTCCCTAATTTTGGGAGATTTTTTGGGAAAATAATATTTTAGTGAATTAGAAGTCGACTCATACCACATCAAGAAAACAGTGGACCATTAAACTAATTTTTCTCTCTTCTGTTTTATAGTATAGAAAAATGATGTTTGTAATGTTATGTATACAGTACATATTTTGTTTCACAAATTATATCTGAAAATAAACCTATAAAAAAGAAAACGTCTCGGTTACTTGTGTAACCCTCGTTGAGCTCGCCTGGGACGTGAACGGCGGGAAGCGACCTCAGATGCTTCTGACTCCAAAGGAGGAGATGGTGGGCGAGTTGCGACATGCAACGGGAGAGTAGACCGCCCTGGTGGTTGATGTACGCAACGGTCGCAGTGTTGTCCGTCCGGACCAATACGTGCTTGTCGTGTAGCAGCGATTTGAAGCGGCGCAGAGCAAGCCATACTGCTTGCAACTTGAGGCAGTTGATATGCCAGTGCAGTCGGGGCCCCGACCAGAGACCCGCAGCTGCATTCCCAGCCTGGTGGACTTGCAGGAGGGCCATGGCGTGCAGGGCGGAAGCGGCCTGTCCAGCAGCACTGTAAGCCTTAGCTGTCAGAGTGGACGAGAACTTACAGGCCCTGACGGGAGGCGTGGAGATGCTGGACCCCGCCCTGTCCGAGGATCCAGCACACTCGTCTGGGAACACCAGGTGGTGCGACATTCTAGAGGAATGAGAGGCCCGCGGAGACGTACTCGACCGGGGAAGCTCTCACCGTGATCCTCAGGTCTCCCTGTGATTGGGCTCTCGGGCGAGATCCCCAATTCGTCAGTCACGACTGACGTAACGTCGAACGTGACTGACTGAAAGGGAACAATATTTAATATCTAATAGATCTAATAGGAATAATACACTGCAAAAAGTGATTTTCTTAGTCAGTATTTTTTGTCTTTTTATCCGGTACAGTTATCTAAACATTCTTAAATCAAGATACATTTGAGAAGCAAAATGGTTTAAAATATTAAGTTTTGTTTTCTGAAAAATGTATCAAAGTTAACTGAGTTTTTGCTTTAGAAAAAGAAAAAATATCTGCCAAATAGTATCAGAAAAATAAAAGAAAGCAAAAGGAAAAACAAGATTATTTTTCGGACCCCATTTGTTTTGTTTTAAGCAAAAGCTCACTTAATTTTGCTACATTTTTCAGAACACAAGACTTGTCACTTTTTGTATCTTAATTTAAGAATATCTAGATTTTTCTACTGAAAAACAAGTCAAAATTACTAAGAAAATAATTTGCGGATGCTTTTTTTTCTCTTTATCTCTCCCACATGTGTCTCCTTTAGAATTTCAGAAGAGATCTCAACAATGTCTCAAAATGCAGAAAGTCAGAAATCTCAACATCAACTCCAACATTTCTCATTAAGTTTCCCCAAGATCAAATGATGACGTTTATAGCGCTACACTCTCACTGACTCATTTGTGTCTGTTTTTATTTCTCCTAAGTTGATATATCAGTTAAACGTCTCTGAGAACTCCATTAAATGGTAATTCACTACTGGCAGGATGGGCTTTAAATTAAAAAAATTTTTTTTTTAAATCAGTGCTATATGACTAGAGAAAACAGAGAAAGAGGCTGTGTTGTTCCCTTTTGCCAAAATGATGGGAAAACTTCAACACCCATAATGCACTGATGGGTGACTGTTTGTGAGCAGGCATGAAAAACTATAAAAGTTCAATCTGTAGTTTTCACAAAAACCCGGAAGCTGTCAGAAGTTTGCTGGATCATCCGGTGGACTTTTGCTGACATGTTAGTGATATTGTAACAAAGCAGTGCTTAAAGTTACTCTTTAAGTCTTATAAGAAATTCCTGAGCAGCAAGCTGTTACAGCTTGTATTTCATGTATATGTATTGTTGCGTAATTTCGCTCTTAATGAACCAATAAACCTTATATAGCATGGAGTCTAGAAGCAGATCATTAATAGGAATCTCTAGTTTGCTTTTTTGGTTTAATCTTCTAATATGTGGAGTTTGACCGGGAAATTTAATAATTTGTCCTTCAGTATGTATATGTGTATGTATATTTCAGCTGCTGAACCCAGAGGACGATTTACACCCCGGTAAGATCAGAGACTCGAACCGCTCGACGCTGCTGGCCACCATACAGGAGCACGGATACCCCACCATCAACCTGGGCATCGTGGGAGACAAGTGAGCAGCTTTCAGCCTTTAGACAGAAATATGAGTAATTGTGTGTCAAATTTAGACTACATAAAAACGGGAAAAAATCTTTCTTTTGTGCCAATCAATTTCTGATTAATAAATGTTTTTGTCATATGTAGTTATAGTTTTTTGTTTTGTTTTGTTTTGTTTTGTTTGGTTTTGCTTTGCTTTGCTTTGTTTTGTTTTGCTTTGCTTTGCTTTGCTTTGCTTTGCTTTGCTTTGCTTTGCTTTGCTTTGCTTTGCTTTGCTTTGCTTTGCTTTGCTTTGCTTTGCTTTGCTTTGCTTTGCTTTGCTTTGCTTTGCTTTGCTTTGCTTTGCTTTGCTTTGCTTTGCTTCTGTTTTTTTTGCTTTGCTTTGCTTTGCTTTGTTTTGTTTTGCTTTGCTTTGCTTTATTTTGTTTTGTTTTGCTTTGCTTTTTGTTTTAAATCCTAGCATATTGTACCAACAGGAGTACATATAACCAAACATGTCAGGCATATACAGAAAGGAAAAAATACTGAAAAACATTGCACATGTCAAACAATTGCATAGTTAGTATTGTTTTTAGGTTTACATTTAATGTCAATTTTAAATTGTTCAAACAAAGGCTTTTTTGTTCAAACCATTTGACTTGAGTAATGAGCAAACATCAAAATTGCATCAAAGTTCAACTAGATTTTTATTATCATCAAATTAGAAACACCTTTACATCACATCAGCTTCAACAAAATTAGCAACAATCTTAGCTTTTTTTTTTTTACTTTTCAATTCTCGCCCCCCCAAAACATGTGCATATTCCCAAATTAAATGAGTAATGGAGACTCATTTCAGGGGCATTTTTACAAAAATCACCAGCATCTTCCACTGAAACACAAGTGACTTAACTAGGTAAACTTGATGGAAAATCTGATATAAAACCTCCTTCTCTATATTTATAAGTCTACTCCAGCAAGCAAAATACATGTATTATTGCAACTAGGACTTAATAAAATATGTACCATGCACCCTAAATTCCTGAAGTGATTGTAAAGGAAAATCATTACTACAGGCTAACAGCCTTATGGAATTGCATGTAATATAGTTAAATGTTGGTTAACTTAAGTTCAGTTGACAAATTATAAACATGAATAATTGAATTCAATATAGTTGTATAAAGCACCCTCCGTTTCATACAGTTATTGCATTTGATTTAGTTATCTTTAAGGCTATAAATCGTGTTTTTGTGGCATCAGTTATCATGGTAACTGTTACCGTGGTTTCCTGCAGCCCTGATGACCTGCTGAACGCTCTGAATGAGGGAATCAGCCGCGCTGATGTCATCATCACCTCAGGGGGCGTGTCCATGGGGGAAAAGGTACAAGAGCTGGTGCATGTGCTCTGTGTATTTAGTTGACAGCTTTTTAAAGACAAACTCTGCTTTAGGAAGACGCATGGAAAAGCATAACACTTTGAGTTTACTTTGGTAATAACTGCTTTATACTGACATCTAGTGGCTGGATTGCAGTAAGACTGTCACATCAAAGAGATTTACTGCTAAAGAAATGAAGTGCCTAGTACTTTAAGTACATTAAAGAAGAGAATACAGTGTTTATACAATTAATACAATCAGACATTGGTGTTTTATATATATATATATATATATATATATATACACACATAATATATATATAATTTTTTTTAATTGGTCCAAGTTTAACAGATCATTAAGATCACTGTAAATGGATGTTTTAACAGGATTACCTGAAACAGGTACTTGATATCGACCTTCATGCTCAGATACACTTTGGACGTGTCTTCATGAAACCAGGGTGAGTTTTTGAAGAAACAGGTGACATCTGTGTGAAGATTGTACAAGTAATGCAGAATCAGGGTGTTTTCACTTCTGAAACCTCGTGAAATGAACCAAACAATTTAATTTAATGAAAAACTACAGAAAGCAGATTTGAATTTGAGTCTGTTTAATCCATAGTACCTCATTTTACCACTATTTTATTCAAATATATTTTATTAACATAATTTTTTTATTGGCATTTATTTTTATTATAAATTAAAATGTATATTTATTTTATTGAAATTAATAGAATAATAGAATAGAATAGTTTTTAATACTGTTATTATATAATAGTCTTTATCCACTTTCATCGGAGCAAAATTGAATCTAAAAAAACATCAAACTTGGATATCAGTTAATTTAATCCATAGTACTACATTTTATTAATTTTATTTTATTTTAAGTATGTATTTTATTAAAATATGTTTTATTAACATTTATTTAATTTTAAATTAAATGTATTAAATTTAATTTATTTTATTACTATTCTATTTTTTATCCACTTTAATTTAAATGTAATTAGTTAATTAATTTAATTTAATTTAAAAACTCCTAAAAGACAGCCTGGATGTCAGTCCATTTAATCCATAGGACTACATTTTATTTCATTTGATTTTACTTTATTTTAAAATGTATATTTATTTTCAACATAAGCGTGTCCTGAGACGGTCTCACTCCAGATGCTCTCAGTGTGAAAACACCCTGATCTTGAGTGTCAAACGATGAGAATGAGTTCACGCGGGTATTGAGCTCTGGTTTGTCTTCCGTTAGTCTCCCCACAACATTTGCCACTGTTGATATGGACGGGTCTCGAAAACTTATCTTTGCTCTGCCAGGTAGGGACGGTGAGAGAGTTTATTGGTGTATTTTTTCAAAACACATATTAGTCTGTAATTTCAACACATAGATTTGGCTATTTTTTCATGTATTAGTGAATGATCTGTGTGTTTGTGGCTCTCTGGTGATTCACAGGTAATCCTGTGTCAGCGGTCGTAACATGTAACCTCTTCGTCATTCCTGCCTTGAGGAAGATGCAGGGAATCTTAGACCCGCGACCCACCATAATAAAAGCCAGGGTAAGACCACCTTCAACCTTACATAGAATAAGGACCTTTAGATATAGAGCACTTCAAAACTTTGGGATCAGTAGGATTCTTCTGCTCACCGAGGCTGCATTTTATTTAATACAAAATACAGTAAAAACCGTAATATTGTGAAATATTATTACAATTTAAAAAAACTGTATTCTATTGTAATATATAGTAAAATGTAATTTATTCCTGTGATGCAAAGCTGAATTTTCAGCATCATTACTCCAGTCTTCAGTGTCACATGACCCTTCAGAAATCATTCTAATATGCTGATATGCTGCTCAAAAAAAATATTTCTGATTATTGTCAATGTTGAAAACAGTTGTGCTGCCAAACTTGTCTGTGAAAGCTGTGATACATTTTATTTTCCAGGATTCTTTGTTGGATAGAAAGTTGAAAAGAGCAGCATTTATTAGAAATATTAATTTTTTGTAACATTATAAATGTCTTTACTGTCACTTTTGTTCAACTGAATGCATCCTTGCTGGATAAAAGGATTCATTTAAAAAATAAAAGAATATGTCAATGCATGAACTTCAAAACATTAATTGCAAAACATTCAAATCTATCGACTGCCTTAATAACAACATCTAAATTGTGCTTAATTGTTTCCAGTTGTCATGTGATGTGAAGCTGGATCCCCGTCCGGAGTATCACCGCTGTATTTTGACATGGCACCATCAGGAACCTCTGCCATGGGCACAGAGCACAGGTCACACATTATATTAATATTATTATTATTACAGAAGTCTTGCAGAACTGACCTGCATTGTTTTGCCTATACATTGCTAGAAAATCACATGCATATACGACAAAATTGCGTTGGGCAACTGAATGTTTGTCACTATAGCCATTGGCTAATAAATTGTTCAATTTCACTTTTTAATTTGAGTACAGATATATTTTTTACTTTGTTTTGTGTGCTATGACCACTTTAGTGCGCCTAAACTTTCTGAGTGAGCATTTGACAGGAAACAATATATTAGCTCGTTTATGAGTGTGTAAAAAGAGCCATGTTGCATGCCATGTTGATGCACTGCATGTAAATTATATTCTTTCTTGATTTTTTCCTTTCAGAATGACTGTTTGTTTAGAATCATTCTTTGTTTTAGATTTTTTGAACAATTGTGCAAGTGCCATCCCAATGCTAGAGTTTACCAATCACCTTTGATTTCAGAAAATCAGCTTTAGTTTTTTATTATATTAGTTTTTATGAATATTTTGAATTACCTTTTATTTTTTGTTTTCATTTTAATTTTATATCAAATTTTAGTAATTTTGTTGTGTGTTTTTGTCATTTTTAGCAGTTTTGGGGGTCTTTTTTATGTTAATGTAGTTTTTATGTTTATTTCAATTTTAGTTATTTTTGTACATCAAGTTAAATTAAAAAGTAGAAATGGCATAGCAACTAAGTTTAAGGGTTTTTAATATTTTATTTTATTTCCATTACAGTTTAAATTATTTCAAGTTACAAAAATGATGTTTATGGTTTTAATTTAAACTATACACTCTTAAAATTGCTGGGTTAAAAAGGGACAAACCCAGCTATTGGGTTGTTTTGACCTAGCGGTTGGGTTGTTTTGAACCAGCGGTTGGGTTGTTTTGACCCAGCGGTTGGGTTGTTTTGAACCAGCGGTTGGGTTGTTTTGACCCAACCGCTAGGTCAAAACAACCCAATAGCTGGGTTTGTCCCTTTTTAACCCAGCGCTGGGTTATATTTAACCCATCATTTTTTAGAGTGTAGTAACCCTAATCCATATATTTTCATGCATGGTTGCCATGTTTTAATTGTTAATTACTACATTTCTATCACTAAAAATGCTTGATTGCCTGTTATTTCAAAAATGTACTGTATATTACACTCTAAAAAATGCTGGGCTGTTTCAACACAGCTTTGGGTCAAATATGGGCTAACCCAACTTTTGGGTTAAAATTTTAATTTAAAAATGTAACCCAACAGCTGGGTTAGTCCATATTTGACCCAAAGTTGGGTCGAAACAACCCAGCATTTTTTAGAGTGCATGTAAAATATCTGTCATTTTGTGAAGAGAAGCTGATTTGATTTGGGATATATTTTTAAAAGAAATGCATAAAATAATATAAAAATATATTATTAATGTATTGCTGTTTAAATGTATAATTTATTAGTATATATATGTCCTAATGTCAATGAGTGCGTAGAGGGTTGTTATACTCTCTTATTTTCTCTTATTGTGGCTATAGCAAGATACACGTTGGTTCCTCTGACATTAGTGGTTTCTGATTTAAGGCAGTATATGTGACCATGGAGCACAAATAAGTAGAGCAGTCATAAGTAGCACGGATATATTTGTAGCAATAGCCAACAATACACTGTATGGGTCAAAATGGTCGATTTTTCTTTTATGCCAAAAATCATTAGGATATTAAGTAAAGATCATGTTCCATGACGATATTTTTTTTTTATTTCCTACTGTAAATATATTAAAACTTAATTTTTATTAGTAATATGCATTGCTAAGAACTTCATTTGGACAACTTTAAATGCGATTTTCTCAATATTTTTTTTTTTTTTTTTGCACCCTCAGATTCCAGATTTTCAAATAGTTGTATCTCAGCCTAATATTGTCCTATACATCAATGGAAAGCTTATATATTCAGCTTTCAGATGAAGTATAAATCTCAATTTAAAAAAATTGACCCTTATGACTGGTTTTGTGGTCCAGACTCCAGGCAGGGTCCCATATTTTCAAGCTTTTCTCCGTCTCGTCTTCCTCCAGGGAACCAGGTTAGCAGCAGACTCATGAGCATGCGCAGCGCTAACGGACTCCTGATGCTACCTCCCAAAACCGAGCAATACGTGGAGCTGCACAAGGGCGAGGTGGTGGACGTCATGGTCATCGGCCGTCTATGATGTCACGGCAGCGGGCTGACGGACGGAGAGCGACGGGTGGTTCACGGTGCATGTTCACATATCATTGACTGTAATATGCAACGGCACAGCTAGTTTTTATTGATTTGGATAACACTGAAGTATAGTCAACATCTTGATCACAAAACTAGATGCATATGAGAAAAAAAAATATTTCAAAGAAAGAAAAATATACTTTTAAATTATAAAATCTAATTATAAAAAGAGATTTATTCTGTATTATTATTAATTATTATTATTGCATTTTTCTTCTCATTATTATTAATTATTGTTATTATTATATTAAGGCAACTTTGTTCTTTTCATTGCAGTTGCTTTGTGTGTTCAATGCTAGATCTTATAGCTGTAGCATTTTAATAGAAACTGAAGGTGCCTGCCAGGAGAGAGAGAGAAAACAAAAAGATGAAGAACATTATTTCCCCGTCTTAACGCAAAAATAACTGAAAAACGAGCGCTTTTGTTTTCGGACGCGGGGAAGGAACTCAACAACTTGAAATCTGGACTCTGGAGGGTGGCACTTTTTGTCTTTTTGTCTCCTCCCATTAGTACGCATCATTATGACATCACAAAGAGCTTTGCTTGTCGTTTATATCTCGTGAGTCTTGTTTGTGTGCGCAGTGCCAAACGCGTGGGTGCACAAAGGTCGTGCGCGGGGGAACACGGACCTGGTCGCCCAATCCCTGAAGCTTCCTTATAATCACATGACCTGGTGTAGCCTCGCCCCCGTCCTCCCAGGGGGCGGAGTCACAGGTGAACGTTTTATTTGAATATACTTTAAAAAAGACGAGGAAAAAAAGAAACCACAGCTTATTTAAGTGCTGACTGCCTTTTTAATCAACTACACAAAAATGTACAGTAAAAAACGAACAATTGAATTGTACAGATAAATGTGACCAGCACTCCTGCGGAATATGACCAAGCAATGAGGAGACATTGAACAAATCTGTATAATAACATTTTCTGTAACGATAAGAACCTAATGAGAGAGAATACAATAGTAAAATCCTTGATCATTATATAAAAATAGCATTGTGGAATTTTCTTGTAATAAAATGAATAAAAACATAATTCCTTAACGTGTGTGATTTCTTTTTTTCTTTTTTTTTACATTTTATGTTGTGCCGATTGACCATTGTATGCAGATTCTCTGCAAATTTCAGATATTAGTCTGGAATCAAATCTGGGTTGTAGTTATAGATAAACATCATTTTTCACACAGTAACTTTGGTAATTGTGTTCAATGGCTGAGATTGATGGATATTAACAATTTGGGGAAACAGTTGTTATAGAAATACGATTTTTTTAAATATTTACTTATTAAATCATATTAAATATA